AATAGGTCACTTGCCTTTCTTATTTCTTTTTATCTATATTTTATTGATGGGTTAGACTTTCTAAACCTTGCTAAGTTTGTATCTGGACACTTTAGATTGTTTCTCGTCATGTATTTGTTGTAGCATCTGTTAAACATACCCATCTCTTCTTCTTTCGAAGAGTCACATCAGTATTATCTTCCTCATATTGTACCTTGGTCTTGGAAGTGGATGCCTTCAAGGAGATGCTTCTCTTTTCACCTTTAATCTTTTCTTTATTTTTCACATTTACTTCACTTGTTTCGAGTCTTTTCAACTTACCATGTTCGGTAAACATTTCAAAAAGAGTAGATATGTATAGTTTTTTAAAATCTTGGGACTCTATGTTCAAAAAAATATTGGGACTCTTTTACGACAGTCACCTTTGATTGATATTTCCCGCATACAAACTTTAATATTTTGTTAGCACAATCCTGATTAGATAAAATATTTTCCAAAATTTCTAACTTGTTGATTATATAAGAGAACCTCATCTGCATGGAAGCCATGTTTTTATCGGGTACCATACAGAAAATTCATACTCTTTTGTTAAACTGTTAATTTTAGATTGCTTCACATCCTCAGTTCCCTCGTTAAGAACATGGAGTGCATGCCATGTTGTTTTAGATGTTTAATAATGCAAGATTAAAAATATATATCAGCGTTCAAGGAGGATATCAGTATATTCCTTGCTTTCAGATTATAAGACGTATTTTTAGTTTCATCAATGATACTTTTTGGGACAAAATGGTCGTCATCGATTACAATCCAAAGCATTTTATCAATTGACATCAAGTGTACATACATGCATTATTTCCAATATGCGTAATATTCTCCCTTGACTATGAGAGTTCTATTGTACACACACTTCGAATTATCCTTACCCATATTCATAACTTTTGAGATTACGAGACTTGATCAAAAGATCGACTCTGATTCTAATTGTTGTTTTGAATGTCGGTGTAGAATTGTCTAGAAGAGGTTGAATAGACTTTTCCCTAGTAAAAAAAATATTTTCAAATTGAGTTAAGAAGTGCGGAAGTGAAAGTTTTGAAAAATATTTTAAAAGAGAATACGTGATTAAATTACTCTACATATAAAATCAATAATAACAAAATAATAATGAAATAAAAAATAAAAAATATATTAATTAATTCAATTAAATTCAAGCAGAGATGTTTCAATAGAATATGATTAATTAATACAATATTATAGAATTACAATTTTTCAGAACAATCACCAAAAAGAAATATTTAATAGACAAGATCTCACGCAAACATAAGGTCAAACATTAAATCGGTATGAAACACAAAATCTAACTATATGCAAACTAGAAAGAAAATAAAATTTAAAAACATACAAATTCCATACAGAAATTAAAAGAAAAAGTGATAGAGAAAGTGTACATTGAGACTTATACTAGTTTGGTGTTTTATCCTTGCTTGCACTTGATCGAGTCACCAATGGATTAGAAATTGTTGGATCTTCCACTAATAGAAAATTCTTGGATAAATTCATTGTATTTTATTTACACTAAACTTTGAGAAAGTGACAAGGGGTTTAAAATATTTTATAAATAAAATTTTATAAAAGCTTAGAGAGGTGTTCAATGTAAAAAAAAGATTTAGTTAAGTAGTATGCAATATTTTAAATATAAAAATAAATAAAATGATCTTCTCCAAATTTTCTTATTATTTATGTTAAATCTGCAAATTTAAGCAAGGGAGTCACAGAAAGAGACAAAACATAATTAACATATCAACTCAAAACACTAATCTTTTTTTTTGTTGACAAACTTAAAACACTAATCTTAAATAAACACTCATTATAAAATTGTTGAAATGAGAGATTATTCATTAAAATCACTTTTACTAGTTAATTACTTTTTTATAAGTCTTTGCAGCTACCAACTAACTACAAGAGTGGCTATATATACTAGAGTTGCATTGTCAGTGCTCAAGTCTCTGATATTATAGTAACATGGAGTTCTCAGTAGAAGCTTTAGAGGAAGATCTAAACAACATGAGAAAATATTATGGAAGTGGAAAAACAAAAGAAACATCATGGAGAAAATCACAGCTAAATGGTTTGCGAAACTTTGTCATAGAAAATGAAGAAAAAATCTTGAAGGCCCTTAAAAAGGACTTAGGGAAACATCATGTTGAAGCTTTCAGAGATGAGGTTTGTTTCATAAACTCTACTTATAGCAAATAGTAACACATTATATATAGATATAGATATAGATATATAGCTATTTGTTTAAGCTTGTTTTGTTGATTATGTTCTTGCAGGTTGGAATTTTGAAGAAATCTATAGATTTGGCAATAAAATCCTTCAAACAATGGATGAATGGCAAAGAGGCTAAACTGCCACAAATAGCACTGCTTTCAAGTGCAGAAATTGTTGCTGAGCCTCTTGGTCTAGTTCTCATAATCTCATCATGGAACTTTCCATTTGGTGAGTAAAAATATACGCGCGTATATTAGTTTTACACATGTATCTGATCAAATCACATGTTTTCGAAATACACTTTTAGCGCGTATAAATCAAATCTAAGTAAAATTTTAAGGTTATGTGTGTGTATGTTACCATATGAACGAGTTACATGTAATTGATTTTATGAAAAGGACTGTCCTTGGAGCCATTAATCGGAGCTGTAGCTGCTGGAAACACTATCGTTCTAAAACCTTCAGAGATGGCCCCAGTTTCTTCTTCTCTCCTAGCCACTGTTCTACCAAATTATTTGGACATTAATGGTATTAAGATTATTGAAGGGGGGCCAGAGGTTGGAGAGATACTCTTGCAACAAAAATGGAACAAGATTTTCTTCACAGGTCAACTTTACTTTTTTAGATCAGATACATCAGTTATTCGTTTAAAAAGTGAAATTTTTCTTATAAAGAATAGAGGGTGTAAATTTACATGACACAGTTTTTTTTTTAGGAAATGCGCGAGTCGGGAGGTTAGTTATGTCTGCAGCGGTGGAGAATTTGACTCCAGTAACTTTGGAGCTAGGTGGAAAATGTCCTGCACTGGTTGATTCACTATCAAATTGGGACAGAGAGGTAAATGTTCATTCAATTTCATCACATGTAATGTTGAAACTTATAATACAAGGGACAAAACAAAGACAAAAAATCTATATATCCGAGTGTTAGTTTCGTGGTAAAAACTTAAAATATTTGTAAAATGATTATTAGTGTCACTGAACGTCTGTTTTGAACAAAAAGGTCGCGGTGAAACGGATCTTGGGGGCAAAGTATGGATCTTGTGCAGGACAAGCATGTATAGCAATTGATTATGTTCTTGTAGAAAAGAGATTCAGTTCAACATTGGTACAGAAGCAATAAGTGGTATTTTTTTGTGTTTTATTATATGTTAGTACTTTTGATTTTGAAGCATGTCTTTTTTTTTTATTCTATAGATTGAATTAATGAAGGAAAGGATTAAGAAAATGTATGGAGATGATCCAAAAGGTTCTAACACCATTGCAAGGATAGTTAACAAACATCATTATAACAGAATCAAGGGTTTTCTCAATGATCCTATTGTCAAAGAATCTGTGGTTTTTGGTGGTTCAATGGAAGATGATGATGAACTGTAATAAATACTCTCACTTTTTTTACTTTTGTTTTCATGATTATCTTTCTCATTTAACACTTCGTACTAAATTATTATGTAGATTTATTGAACCAACAATATTACTGGATCCACCACTTGAATCAGCAATTATGACAGAAGAAATATTTGGTCCCATTCTTCCTATAATTATTGTAAGATAAATGTACAACTTAAGTATTTTGTCATTTTCTTAGTTTCAATTATTAATTTCATGGTTTTTGCAGGTAGAGAAGATTGAAGATAGTATTGAGTTCATAAACTCAAAGCCTAAACCTCTAGCTATTTATGCATTCACAAAAAACAAAACATTGCAGAGGAGATTGGTATCTGAAACATCATCGGGAAGTATTGTATTCAACGATGCAATTCTACAGGTATTCATATGATGATAAGTTTTTTGTTATCAATCTACTAACTTATCTCCTATCTTTTTTACCAACCAGAATCTGAGATAACCAGTCTGATTTATTTTTGTGCAGTATGCGGGGGATACTATACCATTTGGAGGAGTTGGTGAATCTGGATTTGGCAAGTATCATGGAAAGTTCTCATTTGATGAGTTCAGTCACTATAAGGCTGTGGTTAGGAGAAGTTACTACTCTGATTTTTGGTTCAGGTTTCCTCCATGGAATCTTAACAAGTTTCAACTACTTGAAGAAGCTTACAATTTAAACTACATTGGAATAGTTCTTGTTGTACTCGGCTTGAAGAGATCAAAACGTTCATTATATCAGGCTTGTAGTAACTGATTTCCAATCATTTTCCGATTACTTATTTTTATGACCATCATATAATAAGGTTAACTGGTTCTAGTTATTATGTATGTTTATGTTTATGACTATTTATGCTATCAAACATTCAAAGTGTCTGTGTTTCATTGATTATGTATGTCAAGATTTGGATTAAGGGTCTTTTATTGTACTTCTATCACTTTAATTATATTTTTGAAAAGACAATCACTTGATAAGGAGTTAAAATGTAGACCCACAAACAGAAAACACCAAATAAGGAAAAGCCACAACTATAAAACACGTAATGAGTTATGTACTCTTAAGTCAATTAGTTAATGACTAATTGAACCATTTAAATCAATACATATCAACTCATAATTGAGGATGAAGTTTCCCTGTCAAGCAATGTTTCCTCTGTCCTTTAATATATAACTCAGTTTACCTAATTGGTCAAAATCAAAAGATTGGGATTGATCAATGGAATTGATCAAAACCAACCGCCACATGGGAGAAGTATTGGGATTGACTTGTCACAGGAATTAAAACCCAGCCCAACTAAATAAATAATTGCATTTGCAGTTGCGGGGTGTATTGAAATACAAAACCATGAAGTACAAATACAAGTAGAGCCTAAGCTTGCTGCAAGGATGAGGTCTTGTGCCAGAGAGACCGCCCTAAAATTGCATTTCCGTGTACTGAGAGATATGCAGCATTTAACCTGGCAAAGCAATCAAGGATATGTCAGAAATACACAAGAAATCTATATGTTCAAGTTTGGTTGTTTATCTCCCATGTTATATAAAGAAAGAGGAAACAATTACTTATCAACATCGGGCATTGCCAGAGGATCATACAACTCCTCCCTTGGTTCCATTGTAGGCACCGACATAGCTGATATGTCTTGGACACCTTCAACCTACAAGCATGAGTGGTCCAATAAAGTTATTGCCTTACATAAATAAGAACCAATGCCATGTGTAAACTGAATTTAATATTAGATAACTTACCTGTTGGGGATATTGTGCATAGCCAGCATATCCAGCATATGCATACATTGAAGGATCCTGAGCAGCCCCATATGCATAAGCTTCATAACCCTGCTGTCCATACCCATAGTATGCACTCCATTGATTTTGATCCACCTGTTGTCCCCAGCCACCAGGTACGTCCTACAACCATGAACCATTTAGGGCCAACAATTTGTTAGAGCAAACATGAGCTACTTATTTAACTAATCAGAGATATCAAAACTCATTGATGTATAACCTTGAGTATTTTAAACATCAACAACCATATCTATATACATACGACTCCAACGACATCATCTCCTATTTCATTCTTTAACTATTAGCATGTGTAAAGGACTCTCAATGTCCCACATTGACCATTCACGTGTTACCATACCTTCACAATTTCAAGGTTTTCTGTAGAACTAGAATCTAGGCACATCTTCCATACATGCCCTAACAGACAAACTTCTACATCAAAGCATGGAAGGACATAAAAAGGGCAAAAAAAAGGTATGCTAGAAGTATAACTCCATATATGGATTCTTAAAAACCTAAAGAATTTTGGATGACATGCAATCTGCGACTCCACATCAAAAGAGTTTCTGAAATTCAAACGAATGATATACACGAGTGCACAAGGTTATATAGCATAATATATTTTGTCAAGAAAGTAACCATCTCTAGAGGAAAAATACCTGTCTAGCTGTTAGGGGCCTGCCCCAAGAAACTCGGACCACTTGTTGACCTATTATCTTTCCCTGCATCTTCTGAATGGCTTCTTCAGCAGATGCTCTACAGACATCAGATATGAAAAAGGTTAATGATTCATCACATAATAGGTGTAAGGAAAAAGTATAAAGCGATCGTGAAAGAGCTCGGGTTAACTGATTCATCACATAATAGGCTTAAGAAAAAGTATTGAGGTCGTGAAAGAGCTCAAGATGTATGGTGAAATGGGGTAACGGGAAACTTCTTTCTTTTGAAAGGCAACATATCAAAATCTTATCATTTCTTTTTAGTTTCAATTTTAAAATATTTTACGAAAAGATTTAAATGATTAGAAAGAGATTAGGGGGGAAAGAAGACCTAGCCCCAAATTGAACGAAACCACATGCTTTGCCGGGATGTACTTTGACAGAAACAACCTCTCCAAATTGCAGAAAATGTTGCTTCAGCTCCTCGTCTGAGACATTAAGATCCAAATTACCAACATAAACCTGTATTGCAAAAGTATGTAAGAGCCCCGATAGGGAATGAAAAGTTCAAAAATGTTGGGGCTACAAGACTTACGGTAGTATTGTTTGCATCATATTCTGGTGGAACTGTATTCAGTGGGGCAGTGTATGCTGGAACTGGATATATTGCTGCAAAGGAGATCATAGATAAGTTGTTAGGATATGGAACAATGGTTGATTAGAGTCAATGTAGTCAAGCACAGGATTTTAAGTAGGATCGGTCGGCTTGTGAAAGATCGTAAAACTCGAATCGTTAGCATGGCACATAAGATCCTAGCGAAGGGAAAAAGGGTAATTTCATACATATGTATATACACACACGTACACAAAAACATGAAAATCATAAAAACAAGCCCAAAAAAAGACCCAGCACGTTTTTCTTTTAAGATCTTGCTTCAAAAAGCTTGATCTTGACCACGCCAGCGACGGAAACGATCTCTCTCTGATCGTAACACTCTCAGGCATCCTTAGCACGTAAGATCTTACGATCCAGCACACGATCTTGACTACACTGATTAGAGTAGTTAAGAGTGGTTATAGAAGTTAGTTAGCTAATTAGCTGATGTTGTTATAGGTCATTTGTATAAATAGGAGAATACAATGTAGAGTTGATTATTATTGAATATTGTAATCATTTATGAAGAGTCGCAACTTTATTGTGAAGGGGAAATCCTTGGAGAGATTGCTTTCCTACTTCTTAGTAAAAGTGCTCCTTCTTTGGAATCCAATTATTGGATTCCTAACATAAGTATATCTTCTAAGTTGTACTAAGTGCTTGTGTAGTTTCACGGTGAGGAAAGCGTGTTGCATTGAAAGGTAAGGCCATTTAGATTAATTTATTTGAACTTATCTTCTGACATAAACCCTTGTAAGATTGTTTGAGAGAGCTTACGGAAACAACACAAGCCATGTCTAGAAGCCAATTCCAGTTTATTTCCATAAATTATCCAAGATGGCTTAAGCTTATATGAAAACAGTTTGACTTCATTTCAACTTTTTTTTGTTATACAAGCAACTTAAACATAAACCCTTACATGAAAAGGGTTTATGCTATAAGCCATTACTTAAACTCATCATCCAAATACACCTAACTATAATAGCACCAATCATGTACAATTTTCTTACACTCTAAATCAGTCCAGAAAGAAAATTCAAACTATACGTGAAATAGAATGTTGTTGAATGTTATACAAAACAACAACAACCAAACTTTATCCCACTAACTAGGATCGGCTACATGGATCAACTTTCACCATAATGTTCTTTCCTGGACCATACTTCTATCCAAATCATTAATCTCGAGATCTTTCTTAATAACTTCTCTTATAGTCTTTCTAGGTTTTCCTCTTCCTCTTCCTCTATAGTTGTTTAACATCTCTCTATATAATCTACTCTCTTTACCACATAATCTACAATCTACAGAGTCTTCTCTCTACATGCTCAAACCGTGTAAGTCTATTTTCCTCTAGTTGTTGAATGTTATGTAGTCAAGGAAAAGCTAAAAAGCATACTGCATTTATGGTCTGTTTTATGGTAATCAATAAAAGCTAAATGACATATACATTACATAAACACAAACATCATAAGCACTTAATGAAACTCTTTATCCAAAAGAGTCCTAATTATAAAAGGGTAGGTTTTGCTTTACCTTTAGGAGCAGGTGCAGGAGCAACAACAGCAGCAGCACCAACAGCCGCATAAGGATTCTGCGGATAAGCAGTAGTTTTCTTGGGCGTAGCAGCACTAATCCTCATCGGCCTAGTAGAACAATAAACCCCATTCATTTCAGACATAGCCCGATTCCTCTCACTCTCATCAGCAAATTTAACAAACCCATAACCCTTAGACCTCCCCGTATTGGGGTCAGTCACAACCTTCGCACCACGAACCGAACTATAATGAGTCCGAAACGTCTCTTGCAAAAGATAATCAGTAACATCCGGAGCAAGATCCCCAACGAAAATCGAGTGATCGGGACCGGCATCCGGACGGCGTTCACCGATACCGAACGAAGCCCAGTTTAACCGGAACGTTTGTTCGGTTCCCGGCATTTGAGTTCCGTTGTAGCTTTGAAGAACTCGCTCTGCGGCGGCGTGGGAGACGAATTCGACGAAACCGTAGCCTTCTGGTTGGCCGGTGATTTTGTTGCGGATGATTTTGATGGAGATGACTTCGCCGGTGTGGGAGAAGCAGTTTGTGAGGTAGTTCTCGTCGACCCAGTATTGTAAATCGCCGATCCATAGGGTTCGGACTTCTTCTATTGTGGTGGGTTGGTGATAGGTTGTTGCCATTGTTACAGTCTAAGAGAGTTTTTATGCTTGGCAGCAATGCTGGGGTTTAGAGTTTTTATGCTGAGTCTAAGAGGGTTTTGAGTTTTTATGGGTTGGGGTGAACTCGACGCACTTCCAATGCTGCCACCGCCGATTCTAATACAAAATATACAACCTTTATAAAGGAATACTGAATAACAAATTATAATTAGTCACCAAATCTTTTTACTTTATTTATTACTAGTATTTTGTTTTAATCTCTTATCTAAAAAAAAGTAATATTTTGGTTCTTTAAATTAGTATTTGTTCTGAACTAACTCAATAAAACTCAATCTATTTTGGGCTAATGACTTTGGCCCAATCAATTGAAATTAATAAGGGATATTTTCTCCTTTTACCCCTCATTCGAAGAGTCGTGGTCGGTTGACTCTGAGGATCAACAAGATCATATCTGCTCGTTCAGAACAGGCTAGTCCTCATCATGTCAGTCACACGAGGATAGCCACCCAAGAACAATTAGACCACGCTTGTCCGTAAACACCTGTTTGCTCGTCGTAACGGCTAGTTCTGAGCACTTATGTCCGTTACAACGGCTAGTTCCTGGCAGTTATCTATTTTTGAGGAATCTGGTATTCAGGCCTAAAAATAGGGACCAATAACCAAGCGTCGGGGGCACTATATAAATCATCACACTTGTGAGGGCCAAGTATCCAAGATTCACTCTAAAAAACTCTAATCTCTCTCTTGTATCTATTTGCACCCTTTCTTACTTGATCGTCAGAGTGTCTTGCAGGTACACCCTATTCTTCCTCATTTTGCCAGCACAACAGACGAAGTTATCGGTCCATTACATGTTTTGATCACCGCTCCCCGGTTACCAAGAAGACCCGGGGGAGCCACGCTCAGACATTCGCCACTCGTCTCCCCCGAGGTCAAGGATCCACTTCAGGAGCATGTCCCTCTGATGAGCCGAAAGACCACGTCAGAGAAGGAATAAATACTCTCTTCCCCGGTCCAAAAGCTGGAGCGACGACGACGACCCCCACAGGCTGCTATTATGAGAAATCATGGAGACACCACTCCCTATCGGGCTGGAGAAACCCTCCAACCTGGAGACACCACTCCCTATCGGGCTGGAGAAACCCTCCAACCTGGAGACATATGGGGACCGCTGACCCATACGATTACCTCGAAAACATCGACGCCCTGCTCGATTACCGAGGGGTCAAAAGGCGCAATAAAGTGCATGTTATTCCCCACCACACTCAGAAAGGGAGCGATGACGTGGTACAAAAGTCTGCCCGACGAGTCCATCACATCCTAGCAGAACCTCTGAAACCATATCTCCAGGCACTTCATGGCATCTAGTCGACACCCTAAGTCAAAAGCATTGCTCAAAGCGATCATCCAAGGCAAGGATGAGTTTCTTCGGGCATATATTGAAAGGTTCAACTGTGAGGTCGTTCAGGTCTCCACCATTGATGATATGAAGAAACACATGCTCGAGCGTGAACTGTGCCCGCGCAACGACTTTGTCAAAGTTGTTGGCATTGAGACCCCTGATACCTTGGATGCCTTCCTCCTCAAGTCAGAGGCGTACATCCAGTACTAAGAAAAAGGAAGTTTCTAACTTTGCCTGGGACTCGAGGCACTAGGAGAATGCCAAGGGTTCAAAGCATGACAACCCCTTAACATCTTGTCGGGGAGGAGAGAAGAGAAATGAGGATAAGCCCCGAGACTCGTGGGAATACAAGGGACCACCTGGTCATTTTCATGACTACACACCTCTAACCATCTCTCGCGAGTGCATCCTAACCGACTGCGCCAACTCAAATTTTTTCCAGGCAAGGGTTTGGTTTCCTCGACAGACACTGTCCAAGCCCGGGACGAAAAAATCCAAATATTGCAGGTTCCACGAGAGCCATGGGCATACAACAGAAGATTGCATCCACATGAAAGACACTATTAAGATCCTCATCAGAGATGGGCATCACAAGCAGAACAAGAAGAAGGATCGTCCCCCCGAGGACACACGTGAGTCAAAGAAAGTCGAGGAATATAACCCTGCCCCAGACAACATCAACATGTTCGTCACCATGTGCATTTCACGGCTTCAAGACTTCTACATCCCCAACGAAACTGAACACCCCCTGTACTTTGCGACACACGGTTCCTGGGATACATTCCCTTCTGCCATCTCCGACGGAAGTTTTAATAAGTTCATTGTGGGATCGGTGATGATGAAGTTCGAACAATTGATTAAGACAAGCTTCAGCAACAACTCTACCCTCGACAAATTTCGGGGAAGCTCCATCCCAATTTCCTTCTACAATGAAGAACTGCCCCGTGGGGCCCCTAATTCAAGCACCCCTATGCTCGTGCAAGCGCAGATGGCCAACTTTGATGTCAGGCGAATCATTGTCAACCAGGGAAGCTCGATGGACATAATGTATTCCCAACTATTCACCACACTACAACTCAACTAAATGCACCTGACACCTTATGTAGGCTCAGACCTCCAAGATTTCAACGGTGCGGTCACCAAGCAATGGGGTTTCGTCGAGTTGATTGTCACTTTCCGGGCAGACAAAACGGCCAGGTCGATCAAAACCTAACTCTTGGTGATAGACTGTCCCTCTTTATACCAATGCATCTTCGAGAGGCTGACCCTGGCCGAGCTCATAGATGTGCCCTTGACAATACACCTGAAAATGAAGTGCTACACTTCAGGAGGACTGGTCGCAACCTGTTGTACCCTAAAATTTTCCCTCCCTTTTCTTCAAGACATTTCCCATAAAAGATCTCAAATGCTCAAGGATGCTCAAGAGTTGATCAGACAAGCTCGCCTCCTAAGCACTGAGACCACAAATTAGGGTTTTAGTTTTCACAAGGAAAGTTGGACTTCTAATTCCTCAAATGACTTTCATGGTTCATTATAGGTCTCCAATAATGCCCATACCAAGTTTCAAGTCTTGTACCACAAACTTGCTCAGTCAATTGCTTAGATGACTGAAAATCGACTATATTGGATAAAAAGTCAACTATGGTCAATATACAGTCAAACTTCATGATTTCTGGCCAACATCAACATTTTTAAGTCATATTCATCAATTGGTCAAGGGTTGATCACAATTCCTCAAGAAAAGCACTCAAATCATCAAAAGGGAAAAATTGACCAAATTAGGGTTTTGACTGAGAATGGCTAATCATTGACTTTTGACCTAGTACATGGCCTAATGGCTTGAAGCATGATCTCAAGGATTAAAACACAATATGTTGACCTAATTTCATGTCTCAAATCATTTCTCAAGATCAATGGATTGATAGTTGAATTTTGGATCAACTGATGAAAAGTCAACTGATACACAAAAAGTCAAACTTTAACTTTTTGGTCAACATTGAATTTCAAAGATCAAGATTCATCGAGACATTCAAAAATATAAAACTTGATCTTCAAGAGTCAAGAAAGTCAAGAAAGTCAACAAAAGTCAAGATTTTCAAGACTTAGAAAAATTTCTAGGTATTTTTTATCCTTGATAATTCCACTACTTCATGACAAATTTTGAACTTTGATTAACTTTGCATATGACATATGGAAAGTTGTTAATGGAGGTTTATGGAAAATCTTGAACTTGAATGCCTTGCATTATTGGCCCTTAATTCCAATTGAAACTCATTGCATATGACATATACAAGTGATCAGAAACATACACAAGACCGAAGCTGCGCTGCAACCTCAGAATCAAGTTTGCATTTTTCACCAAAATTCTCAAAACTGAAAACAGAGATAGTGCTCCTTTCAAAGCTTACAATCCATTCCAAAGGCTTGCTGGGACATTTTTGGACGTGCCTCAATCATTTTCCACTCTCCATACACAAAGAACAGGTATAACCAAGTCACCCTGTTCATGGTATTTTGCATATTCGTGTTTATATTTTCAGGCCATATTAATGCATTTTAATGTCTCATTTGTATTAATATGATCATTCTAAAACTAATGGTGCCATCCAATTGAGTTTTCAAGGCCTATACAGAAATCTACTGTTGTACCCCAAAATTTGCCCTCCCATATTCTTCAAGAAATTGCCAAGTCAAGCCTCAAAATATCCCCAAGGGTTGCATAGTGTAAGGGCCTCCTAAGTAGTCAAAATTAGGGTTTTGGTTCTGATCAAGAAAATGAAGTTTCCAAGGGTCCAATCAAGTCCCACATGCCTATAAATATGGTCAAGCATCCTCATACCAAGTTTTAAGACTTTCAGCACAAAATTGCACAGTCAAAAACCCTAATTGCACTACAGTTAACTGTAGGGGCAAAATGGTCATTTGACAGTCAAAAGTTCAAATTTTTGGTCAACATCTCATTTTGAAGCCACAAACATCATTTGATCAATTCTTGATCATGATTCTCAAAGCTTGGCTCAAAAATCATCAAGATGCAAAAGTTTCCTTATTTGGACAGTTGAAAAAGTCAACTGTAAATTGACCAGGGCATAACTTTCACATGGATTATCAGAAAAATCCCATCCAAAGCTCATTTTGAAGAGAAAGACATTTCCTACAACTCATCTTCATACTTCAAGTCCAAGAAATGCTCTCACAAAAAGTTATCAATTTCAACATTATAGGTCATTTTCAAAAGTCAACAAAAAGGGACTTTAAGTCAAAGGCCATAACTTGAGATTGGTAAATCAAAATGACATGGGACCAAAGGCATTGGTTATAGGACTCAAAGACCTTTCCAAAATGTCCAAGAACATGAGCAAAGCTTAAAAATTGAGCAAGTTATGCCTTGTGGAAGTTGGGAAATGTTTGGATATTTTGAAAAGTCAACATTGATTCAAATGACCTAAAATTGCTAATGGGCCCATTTTTCTTCCACAATTCATCATCCCAAGCATGTGCACGACCACTTGGCCCAAAGGGAAGTTTTTATTCATTTTTTATTTATTTATTTGAATTTTTATTAATAATAATTCATTTAAATCAATTAAATATATGAAAAATACTTAACCTACCTTAT